CGGTGCCACTGCCCCGCTGAAGGCCTCTGAAGTTCCCACACTGCGTCCACAACGCAAGCCCAGCCCACAGCCTTCTGTGCAGGGCGTCGGTGACAGGCTCAGCCCCTCCGACCACATGCCCAGTTGTCCTCCCCTCGTCCGCTCTGCCACAGCCACCCGCATCCTTGCGTCTGTGTCCTGGACGCTTGGAGCCAAGGAGCTGAGCTGTAGGTGGTCTCTATGTGTTCTGGATAGGAATCCCTGTTCCAATATATGATCTGCAAATATTTTCTCCCATTCTGTGGGTTGTCCTTTTATTCTCTGCATGGTGTCTTTTGATGCACCAAGTTTTAGATTTTCAAGAAGTCCAGTTGGTCTGTTTTTTTCTTTTGTTGCCAGTGCTTTGGTGTTCGATCCAAGAAATCACTGTGGAACGAANGGGTGGGTGTTGACTTTGCGACCCACTGTTGGGTGGTTCAGCACAAAAAGGGAAAGGCACATACCGCACTGGCGCACATCTGCGCGTTATTACATGGCGCGTTAGCAGAGACCAGTGCAGGCAACGCTGCCAAGTGCTGAGCACGAGCGAAGGGTGCGGGCGCTCAGCGCACCATTCCTCCAGCTGTTCTGCAGAATTCACACTGCCACAATGGAAGCATCTCACTCCAGATGGCACAGGGTGACAGCACAGGGGTTGGATGAGGTCAGGTGGGAGCAGGGGACATGGAGGAGCCTGCTGCAGTGGTCCCGAGGAGAGCGGCCGCCTGGACCAGGCCATCGCCATGGGGATGGGAGGAGAGCTGGTGCGAGCAAGTCACAGCTATTGCCAGCTCGGCCTGCCCCAAATGGAGCCTTGATGTCCTCCAAACCCTTCGGGTGCCCAGAGCCTGCCCTGGTCCTCTTCACCTCCAGGGGCAACAGCCGGGCTCAGCCAGCAGCTTGAGGGCCCAGCAGCTGGGAGTCGCCCTTGGTCCCCCCAGCTGTGACCATCAGCACCTCGCACCTGTCTACCACTCACCCCTCTACTGCCCACGCTTCAGTCCTCTCTCCCTGGCCTCTCCC